ACCCAAAACTAATCAAATCTGCGCACTAGTTCAGAGCATCCATGTGCCAAGTTTCATCAAAATCCAATGAGTGGTTCTTCAGATATCAGTGGAACAGTCTTGGAACAGCTAAAAATCAGCTAATTATCATGCAAATTAGGTAATTAATATTCATAGATTTTTACCAAAACCTAATCAACTCTGCGCATTATCCCAGAACATCTATGTACCAAGTTTCACCAAAATTTGATTAGTGGTTCTTGAGATAACGGTGGAACAAAAAAAGTGACATACATACATACATACAGACATACAGACAGGGTAACTGCAAAGACTCCCTTTTGTGCTTCGCACACGGGAGTCAAAAAGACCCACTTGGGATATTCAGATCTGGAAGAAAAATTACGTGCATACTCGGAGGAGACTTGTTCATCAACCTGCCAAGTTTCACTGATATCTGCTGTAGAATTTCTGAGAAAATGTTGGAGATGGAAAAAGGAATATGGAAAACGGAAAATGGACATTTGACATAACCTGAATTATAAGTCCCCTTTTCAGGCTGCGCCTGAACGGGGACTAAAAATGCATAAGTTTTAGATTATAGCTTCTGCAATAGTTTCTTTGGTTTTGGGTGGTCCAATGGCAGGTGTTGAAAATAGGGTGGATAGGTAGGTGGATTTTTCAATCAAAATGTAAGCCTCCTAAAAATATTTGATAATCATTTTTTGAAAATTTGAACCCCAAATAAGGGCCCATCAGCCGTGAAACAGCCCAGGGCGATTTTTGGGATGGGCGAATTTACGGCAGAATCCAGTACATTCTATAAATTACCTTTTCCGACTGTTCGTCCGATGTCACGATTCCTTCTCTCAAGAATACACCATAATCTTGTATAAATTTGTCGTATTTAACACGATCTTTTTTGGCCTGGTCTTGAAGATACCGAACAATTCTATTTGTCAGAACACTCCTGAGTTTTCTGTTGAGAAGAAAGGATTTAAGGTAATTCTCAACTTTTCAAATGATCATGAATGAAATTAATTAGTTCTGATGTATTCAGACTTTATGCAAATGAGACTAATAAAGAAAGAACTCCTGTGTGCTGAGAGTATTGAAGACACATTAACATTTAATTCAAAATTACTTGTACCTGAGATATTGATGGAAAAGCTGAAAACTAATTATGTAAATCAGGTAACTAATATGAACAGAACAGAAGAGAACAAAAAAATTATGAATTATTATGCTAATCAGAGAATTAATATGAACAAATTTTAACCCAAAATTAATCAGGCCTGTCTATTGTCCTAGAGCATTTATGTACCAAATTTAATGGTTCTTTATACAGTCAAAACTCGTTAATACGAACTCGGTTACAACGAAATACCGGTTACAACGAACGAACACCGAAGTCCCGTTTGAAAATCCATTATCCCTATGGTAATTGACAACGCTTAGAACGAACTCGTTTATTACGAAAACCCGCTGAGTACGAAAGGATTTTCTCTGAAAAACAATGGTCTGTAACACCTATAGCGAACATTTCATTCGCTCAAACAGCTGCGAAATCCTAAAACGAACCGCCAAATACACGGTGTTACGCTTCCGCTGTTGGCAGTGGGCTTGAGCTGTGCAGCGTAAAATAAAAACAATGTAGCCATTCACTGGGCGTGAAAATCTTTTGTGTACGTGA